AAACACTGAGATAAATAGATGCAATTATACCAGGAAAATACGTTCAGGGAAGAGAGAGCTGTACTTGAGCATATCTTGCTGCTTCCATTTACTATTCTTACATTACTGAATAAGGAAATATATCTTTGGGAGGTAAAAAGTGCTTTCCAGCTACAAAGAGTGCTGTATCATACATTAGGTACATGTCTACTGGGCTAAAAAGCAAGAGCACTGTTTCTCTTTATAGGAAAACATGAATAAAACCCATTCTGAGGGTGGTTGTTATGCAAAGAGCACTAAATATTAATTCCAACCTATTCAAAGACAAAGAACAGATTTGTACTTTAAAAGATTTGGCCCTGGCACATTTTTCTCCTCTCTGCAGCTGCTTTAAGGAAGAACAAGCTGTACTAACATCCTCAATAACAGACATTTAGGCTGAAATATAATCACTGAGATCCTCTACCCCACACTGGACAAATGGTCAGGTACGTGACCAAAGTGGTACGAGAGCTAGAACAGGAAATAAGAAATGGAAAACTGTCCCAAAAAGATCACATGGATCCAAACCAGACACCTTTGGGAGACAGATGTGCAAAGCTGCTTGTCAACAGAAATCAGTGCAGGAAGTGGGGAAAGCAAGACCAGACTCAGTGAGGTGCCTGACTGCTCGAGTACTTTCAAAGTAGTTTTGTCTAATGCTCAGACTGTTAGAAAAGGAGATTTTATAGCAATCAGTGGCACCTCCTTCTGTCCAGCTCAGCCCTAGTCTCACACTCTCATGTCCCAATTCATTTAAGCCACTTCTGAATAAACAATTCTGGGATTTCTACCTCCAAGAGGTGTCCTCCAAAACATTCCACAGATAGTTTGCTACCCACCTGTAATCTGGAGTTTACACCCAGTTTGTTCCTTGAGCTGCCTGAGTATGACATTTATGTACTTGTGACAAACATATCCCTACTTTGATGTGATACGCTATTTTGAACTTCCCCTAATCATTATTTCAATTTGTCCTGTTTTGTCTGTGATGAAACAATTATGTTGATGAAACAATTTCCAACCCTTACCACACGGCCCTGGCAAGGCCTTTCCGACGTTCTGACTACAACGAGTTAAAAACTGAATCAAACAAAACCTGTTCTTGGACCAGGAGCACTTTTCCTGGCACCTACCCAGCACACAAATCATTCCTTTTAGGCTTTAATTTATGCACTATTTTGGCACACTACACTTGAAGATTTACAGCTAAACTCGTAGATATTAAGTCTGTTCCTCAGGAAAGGTAAACAGCCTTTTCTCCAGTAAATAAAACATCTTCATTTGGAAAACACATTACAATCCAAAGTATCAACACAGATACAAACTGGGGAACAACCCAACAGCATAAAGCCTGGGAGGGTGGCACAAATGGGAAATATTTTCATTGCTTTATAGGGAGTATCACTTAAACACTTCAACACCACTGACTGTATACTGCAGTCCTGGAAGGGTCAGGCTGATTTCACTTTCTCCAGAGCTACACTGACCAACCAAAACAAATAACTCAGGCCACTAGGCTGCATTGATTTCCCTGGTTGCAGTTTATTTGTTGAATTAAAGCAGCCTTTCATGCACATATTATCTGAATGAAGCAGAGCATTACAGCTGCCATTCTTAGACCCTTCAAACAGAACAGGCTGGATTAAAGATCTTCCAGTAAAACTCCACCAAGCACAGGTCAAGCCACTTAACTGAGAGCAAAAGAGCTGACTTAGGTAAAATTTTGGTCATTAAACTTGAAATATTGCAAAATTTCTATCTTCTGCCTTACTAAAGAAGAACTCTGTGTGCAGAGGAAAAGAGGGATTGTTCCAGTAACCTTTAAGCATTAGCTATTAATAAAGAGCCTGCTAGAAGAACCCAAAACTGGCTTTCAATTGTTTTTCATGGCAAAAAGGTCTCCCTCAGCAATTGGCAGCATTTGGAGGAGCAACTTGAGAATCAACTCCCCCAGAAATGGAAAGATTCTCACTATTATGACCATGTGGTTTCATTTCTGTCTGGGGCATTAAGATGACACTGTTTCACCACTTGTTTTGCAAATCCTCTTACAAAGGCTCTCTGTCACGACTCTACAAGATTTGATGTCTGATGCAAAGTACTATTCCAACCCTTCGTGGCTACAGGCACAAACCTTTCAGATGTGGTGCTGCAGCTCAGCTGAGCTCATGCCTTTTGACACTAATGAAAGCAGAATTAGTTTCCCCAGTCAAGCAACTAGAGGGGAAAAAGGAGTTATCAATCTGCTGAATAAGGAGGGCTACCAACAGGCTTACCTTTGCCAGCTGCCTGCTGCAAAGCTGTTTAAAGAGCTCAGGTGCTGTCCCTGATTTGGGATTTATGGATGAGAAGCTCCCCATGAGCTGCAGTGTGAGCTCAGCCCAGAAACCAAACTGAGTCCTGAGCTGCATCAAAAGAAGTGTGGGCAGCAGGTCAAAAGAGGTGATTCTTCCCCTCTGTTCTGCTCTCCTGAGACCCACCTGGAATACTGCACACAGTTCTGGTCTCAGCATAACAAGGAGCAAGTCCAGAGGAGGCCACCAAGTTGCTAAGTGGACTGGAGCACCTCTCCTATGAGGACAGGCTGAGGGAGTTGGGGCTGTTCAGCCTGGAGAAGAGAAGGTTGTGTGGAGACCTCAGAGCAACTGTTCAATATCTGAAGGGCCTACAAGGAGCTGGAGAGGGACTCTGTGTTAGGAACTGCAGTGATAGGACAAGGGTAATGGGTTCAAACTGAAGAAGGGAAAGTCTAGGTTGGATGTGAGGAAAAAGTTTTTTCCTGTGAAGGTGGTGAGACACTGTCCCAGGTTGCCCAGGGAGGCTGTGGCTGCCCCAACCCTGGCAGTGTTCAAAGCCAGGTTGGCTAAAGCCTTGAGCAACCTGCTCTGGTGGGAGGTGACCCTGCCCAGGGCAAGGGGTTGGGGCTGGATCATCTCTAAGCTCCATTCCAACCCCTAAATTCTATGATTCTTTGATAAAATAGGGGGGGAAAGGGACAAAAGTAAAGCACGAAAAACCATGAAGCAAAGAAAAATCACTGGTGCACACGTCTGTTACAGATACATAGAAACACATGATATATAGAGAGACATGTACAGATATCTGAGCCCAGGAATGGTCATACCTATCGATGAAGACTGTGGGCTGATGAGGAGATCCTCCTGCACTTGCTCACTGCCTGGGACTGTCTGCTGATCGCTCAGGGAGCTCTGGGACGCGCTGACAGGCTGTGACACCTCCTCGTGCACCTCCTCGTCGCTCAGCCGCTCCACTTTGACTCGCACATCCTCCTCGATCACCAGGGGAGAACTGTCCTTGGTGCTCTCACAGGCCACGTAATCTGTGATCCTCCTGCTGGACTCAGAGGGCCCAGGCATGTCCAAAGTCCTGGAGTTCTCTGTCTGCTTCACCTTCTCCGACTGGAGCCTTCGGTCGATTCCAAAAGGAAAAGTCCAGGGGAACGCTAAGGAGGAGTCCACAGGCTGATTTCTGGACTCTGGGTAGGAGGTTGAAGGATTGAGCACTTGGGGGGAGCTGGTTTGGGTGTTGCACTTTAAGGGGCTCTCTGGGGACATGACGTTGTAGCTCTTGCGCTTCCGGCGCGACTCGCGGCACACGGGGATGGTTCTCTCCACCACGCTGCACTCGGAGGACACCGGGGAGAGGCTGCCATCCCGCGAGGTGAAATTGCAGTTTGCACTGCTCTCCTGTCCTGCATCCAGCACCTTCTCCTGCTGGCTGTTGGGGGTATTCCACAAAATGCTGGACTTCATGAACTCGGAGCAGGTGCTGGCCACGCTGAACATCTGCATGTAGCTGGCCGCAGCCAGCACGTCGATGATGTTCTCCGTGTTGATGGACAGGGTGGCTGTGTAGGCATATTCCAGAAGAGGGATGAAACCAGTCACTGTCACGTGGTGCAGGTCCAACACGCTCTTGCCCTCATCCTCTGCTTGGCCCACGAGCTTGGAGCGGAAGAAGTCGCTGCAGGCTGCCAGGACCACCTTGTGTGCCCTGAAGATCTTGTCCTGCACGCGGATGGTGATGTCGCAGAAGTGGCCGTCGTTGCGGAGCATGTTCAGCTTCCCCAGCATCTCCTGACTGTGAGCAGGGGAGTTATGAGTGAAGGTTTTAACACCCATTTTCAGATGGTTCTGCTAATGTTCTTTCCACATATGAGAGATCACAGGTGTCCTGAAACAAAGGGCAAACTGTCATTTGCAAACTCAAATGGATTTGTGGTTCTAAGACTCTACATGAAGAAAATCCAGCTGAATTCTCTAGGGTCAGGTTTTACTAGGATCCAGACTGTGCAAGGGACTATCTCTACAGAAATCCAATTACCTACTTGTAATCATCATAAACACAGATCACATTATTTGCTATCTATCCCTAATACCTTTCACATTCCTACTGCTGCCTATTCATAAATAAATTCCCAGCACAGTTCAAAGAAATGTCTGTAATGCTAAAGAAAAGTGTTTTTGAAACTATTAGCTTTGTAGAAACCTGCATTTTTTGTTTTCTGGGCCCAGAAAAACTACTGCTCACAGATCTTAAACCTCACAGACAGTTGAGTGTTTCTTTTAAGTGCAAAAGACATTAGCTTGGGTCAATTTACAAGTGTGCAGAAGCAAGCAAATCTCCCAGAGAATGTATTTAATACCAGGAAAGCTTTAGAGAAACTACAGCAATGAATTTTCAGAGGCCACAGTTCAAGCTAGTAAACATAAACCAACAGTTGCCAATAGCTGTGCTTTCCTGCTGCAGTGCAGGTACTGATTGCCTAAAGCTGCTTTTAATAAATAGTTTTGGACTAGGATGAGAAGTTATCGAAAATTCCTTCAAAAACACAATGCATTAGAAACCTCAAAGGAAAGGTTAAGTTTAAATCAAATACACAGATATTGATTTTGTGCTTGTAATAAATAATACAAGGAGGGGAACTACTTTCTTCTGCAAAATACCAACCTGCCTCCTTGGGGACCAGTGTGGGAGCAAATGGATGTGCTGTGTGCAAGGTCCTGATGAGAGTGGGGGGTGTGACCCACACTGGCTGCAAGTTCTAAGGCTGCAGCACTCTCTGGGAAGTCAATTCCTTTGATTTGAGGAGGATGAAGCTGCTCCATGATTCACTCCCTCTGCAGTACACAGGGGAAAACACTGTGCCAAGGGAGATGCAATATGCCCAGACATCCTCTGCCCTGCGCTGGCACTGCTGTGCCCACCAAGGCTGTCTCTGCTTGCAGAGAGTGAAGCATTTCTGCACAACAAAATCAGTTCCTGGGTTTTCTCCAATAATTCCTGAATTATTTCACTGTAAAGGAAAAATAACCCACTGTGTTTCACCTCCTCAAGGTCCCCCCAAGTTCCCAGGAAAGGTTTCTGTGTTCTGCATGCCTCCCGCAATTAACACGATGTAGAAATATCATCTTGGTAAAGCTGGTGGTTAAACATCAACAACATAATTGGCTGTGATTAGCTCCTGGAGTCAGTCAGCTTCTTCACATCATCCTTCTCCCTTCTCCTCCACGTACACAGACACATACCACACTTGCAGATTGCTCATGTGGAGCTTTGCAGTTACAAAGAGCAGTGCAAGTTTGGAACAACTCACCCCAAACCCCTCAGAGTGAAGTGGCAGCTGTCAGGGCCCACCTTGTTCCACAGCCATTGACACTTGGCTGCTGCTTGTTCCTGGGGTTTCACTTTTGATACTGCAAACCCTCTCAGACAGAGGAAACATAACTATTTGAGAGAACAGATTAGCTAACACTTGACAATATATATATATAAAGTCTGAGGGAAACTCTAAAGGCCTTTTGGGTTTAAAATGAAATTTCACACTAGTGCAGAGGAAGAAGTTAAGCACAAGCAAAACATTCCCTTCCCTGAAAGAAAAGGGATCGACCTCAAGAGACATATGAAGATCCAGACTGTTTGTTCTCCAGCATGAATCAAATGAGAAGCACATTTCATTGATCTCAGACCAAAACACCCCAGTAAAATCTTGTAACAGCATATTCTAAAATGGCCTTGGGATACCCTTCCCTCTGAAATCCCAGTCGCTGCAGCAGCTCCTTGGCACATCACAGCTCCAGAAGTACTTCTGTTCAGCAACTGGCTACAAATAGAATAATGCATTCACAAGGACTACCCACAGAATCATCTGCTAGTTAGGAATAGTACCAATACATAATTATAAACAAGGAGAAAAATCTAAGAGCAATCCTCCCAGTTCGATATGCCCAGAAATCTAATCCATTTTCCTGTTCAGCTGGATGAGTAATGCTCATCCCTCCAGTCCCTAAGTGAGAGCTCTGTTCTGCTCCCCTGCTCTGAACCATTCCTTGTCTTGCTTCCCCCTTCCTGCCTGCCTCTCCCCTCTCCTGGCTTCCTTCCCCCTTCTCCTTTCATCTTTTGCTTCCTTGACCTTGATCTGGTTACAGAATTTAAACTCAAATAGAGGAAGCCAGTGATGTGCAATAAATTGATTTAAATTTATTACGGGAGCAGTGTTCCTGCCACAAAAGTGGGATATTGCTCTGTTAAACCACTTCTGTAAAGTGACTTTCTCCCTCATTGCCCTGACAACACCATTCAAACAAGTGGATCCTGCCCAGGCTTCAGTGGGGACAAGGAGCATGCACATGCCTGCTTTCAGGAAAATCCAAATGGGGAACAACATCAGCTCCTTCCAGTTAACGAGGTAATAAAAACACCAAATATTTTTAGAAGGTAATTTAAGCACTATGAGAATATTTTCCACATGGCAAGATGAGTGTGCTAAGGCACAGTCAGGGCATGGAATGGCTCGATTCTCTTTGCTAAACTTTCAGTGGCACAGGGCACTGACAGCTGCAGTGTCACAGGGGCCAAGGAGGGGAAAGGGCTGCAGTGTCTCCGCTCCACCTCAAGTCTAACACCTCTGTACATCAGCACTGTGAGATGGCATCATGTCACGTCCCATTTCCCACTATCAGAGCACTCGTTGGACCATAAGGAGCAGCCACAAACCAGAACCACAAACCAGAACTAAATATACACAGTACCTCGGGAGTGCTGGGCAGGGGATGGCAAGGTGCACGCCCAGCTAAGTGAGTTGGAGCTGGACAAGTTGTTCATCTTGGAGCCACAAACCATCAGTGATTCCCTAAGCAGGGACAGGGATGGTATCACAGGAACAGTGGCTTGCTTTTCCTTCCCAGCTGCTGCAGCTTGGCTCCTCCTCCCCACCATCCCCAGGCACACACTCACACCCTGACCCACAGCACACCAGAGCATTCCAAACCTCTAGAGAAACCCAGTGAGATTTAACACTTCCACGAGTTTTAAAAATATTCACAGTGGGACACTTCAGCCTGTGTTTCACATTGCCACAGACATTTACAGATGGAGAGAACGGATTTTC